TGGGGTTGGGGGTTATGGGGCGGGGGATCAGGTGGCAGAGGGGCGACCACAGGGAGATTGTTCAGGCCTCACCCCCCTTGTCCCCCCTGCCCCCCAAAACACCCAACGACACCCTGCACTTGAAAACCCCTCGGACCCTCCCACCCCATTCCCACTCGGGAATCGGGGGGATTGGGGGGGTAAGAGGGCTATAGGGGTGCAGAGCTCAATAGGGGTGTTGCACCTTGCGTTCGACACCACTGCTGCTCATCGCGCCGCGCTGCTCCTGCCGATGATCCGCTGCGCTGCTCCGCTATTGCTGGTCCTTCTCTCTCTCTCTCTCTCTCTCTCTCCTTCCTGCACATTGCAGAGGACGCACTATGGTGCTCTCTCTCTCTCTCCCTCTCTCACGTTGCAGAGCACGCACTATGGTGCTCTCTCTCTCTCTCTCCTCTCTCTCTCCGCGATATGGTGCACGCGCGCGTTTGAGCACATGGCACCCAGTCCAGAACGGGGGTTCATGCACACCGTCACTGGCAGAGTCTGAAGGCCTTTATTTACCTTGCTTTTTTTTTTTTTTTTGGGTTCTTTGGACTCCACAGCCCCTTCCAGACCTCTGACACCCCTTCCCTTCGCTAACACAGCCCACTTACAACACGCACACACACACACACACACTCTGCAACACACACACAAACACACTGCAACACACAGACAAGCAACACACCTAGAGACTGTTACACATGCGTTTACACAGACAGCCACACACACGCACACACACACACACACACACACACACACACAACACATGCGTTTACACAGACAGCCACACACACACACACACACACACACACACACACACACACACAACACATGCGTTTACACAGACAGCCACACACACACACACACACACACACACACACACACACAGCGGAACGCATGTACACACACCTAAAGACCATTACACGTGTTTACACAGACAGCCACAGACAGAACAAGGAAGATCTCAGGGCAAGTGAAACAAAAGCCGACCCCAGACAACAGATCTCATCAAACCCCAAGGCAGGCTTCCCTGATTTGTATTCACAGGCATGGCAAACCCTCTCACATTTATATTCACACAAGTGACAAACCCACTCATCAGATTACTCTTGAGCGCGTGCATGTGGGCATCCATTTCCAATCAAACTCCAAGGCAAACGCCAAAAAATAATAGCTGACCATCTATCTGTACGGCAACCTGTTGGTCCGTTTCAGATTTTGCAACTCTACACTGTAAAATCTTATCCATTTACAAATTGCACATCTAGACACGGGACAGGAATACGGTCCATCGCAAATGGACCTGATTACCTGCAGCATGAGCTGTCGGTCCCTTATCAGTTTCACTAACTTGCACAGCTATATATATATATATATATATATCGTCAAATAGAACTGCCCGGTAAACCGTAGGCAGAGAGGGAGAAGAGGACAACAAACGAGGGGCTGTGACAAACTGTTTCATATATATATATATCGTCATATATATATATATATATATACAGTTGCTGCAAACCTCTCCTGTCTACAGACTGTACACCTAGAAGCAAAAGAGCACCTGATTACCAGCACCAATGACGGGTTACTCCCTCCCTTCTCCATCTTTCTCCCTTCTCCATCTTTCACAACAACGTAAGGTGGAAAACGTGAACACACCTATCTACAGACCGCAAAAGGAAAACGAAAGGACAACAACACTATTTACAGTTGAAGACATCATCTCACCAACCTAGTGTTCCCTACAGACTGCACACTTCGAAGAACCTAACTACCCATACCATGACCTGGTAGTCTCCTTTCACGGTTGCAGAACTACTATATACAATTGGAATTCGAAAACATCGCCAACTCACAGACCTAAAGTCGCCAACACCCACCAGACCTCAAACCAACAAAAAAAAAAAGCAAGGACATGCTTCAAGAATGGAAAACGGGAGAAGGAAAGCGACCCGGATGTCCTCTACCCCTACCACTAATGTGACTGCATCAGCATATCCAGGAACCACCCCAACGAATCGCTGAGATCCCACAACGATTTGTGATCAAAGACCTGCAAAAGGCTTGTTCCGTATGGGGGTCACATCTGCACAAAGCGCGCACATCGATTTGCGTGCCCCTGGAAAGTACACACACGTGCTGCACATTAGGCGGCAGCACCACTGTACTCTGGACAGCTTTCATGGAGTCCGGGGATGCACCCAGCTGAGCTTGCACGGATGGGCCGAGGCGCTCGTTAACCAGGACCATTCAAACGTTCTCCTGCCGCATGACATGCTCTGAAAATGGCACCTTTTCCAACCCTTGTCTCCGGGGACAAGGTCCCACTCACATGGATTCTTCATTTGTGGACGTAGATTGCCAACAAAATACACGGCCAGACGGCCCAGAAATGAAGAATCGATGCGAGCGGGACCTCGCCTCACAAGACCAGGAAATCTAAACCGACCCACCTTCGGTAGGTCTCATTTTGGCCTGAAGTTCTCTGCGATCACCAAAATGGAGAACCCACCATGCAACAACTGGGGTACCCCTCGTTCACCCCGAAGAAAAGAACAGGAGATCGAAAATTATCCACCTTCTAAAATCGCCTCGCAGCCACCATGGTTGACTGCCCTGCTCTCCTCCAATGACTTTTTCTTTTTCTCCCCACCACCACGCCCGGATTAGAGATTGCTTCAGTAACAAAAAAAAAAAAAAAAAAAAAAAAAAAAAAGAGAGAGCTTCCGTAACTTCAGCCAGCGATTCCGACCTCGGTTCTCAACCGCTCAGTCAGTCAGCCAACTGATCGATGCCGCAGTGTCCTGTGCGCATTCAGTTGACAACAACACAAAAGACCTGCTCAACTCCTCCACAGAACCCACGAACTCCAGCACAGCTTGAATTGAAGACCAACTACAATAATTGGCCCTTGTGCACGCACACAGCGGCATATATTCCCCTAACAACACAGGCACGTGAGCCCTCTCCTCAATCTGCTGCTCCCTGTCGAACAGCCAGCCTATGTTGAGACCAACTTCTCCCAAGTCCCTTCTCCTAATGCAGCCAGAAATACAGAACACCCCACACACGAAAACACACACAAGGGACCTCCTCAGCCCCCTTCTCTCCTAACCAACAGAACAAAACACATCGCCAAGCGAACACACACACACACACACACACCTACCCGCCCACCTCAGCATCCTCTCTTCTCCTCCCTCCCCTCCCCCCCCTCTGTCCCTACCCCTCATGCACACACTAGCAATGCCTCCTCGGATCCTCTGGACTCTGGAATGGACTCCTTCAATCCGTTGGTTGCCCTCTCGAGTCCCTTCCCTTGTGAAAGCGAAGATTCAGAAATCTCGCGCACACAAAAACACATGCTATCTGAAGACGAAAGTAACTGTTCGCAAAAACATCCACACCCCTGGCAATCTGATTCCGCGCGTGCGTCAAGCGCCACGTGTTGCACCCTCATAGCACTGATAGCAGTATATGATGTTCATGCACCCTGCCGCAGGGTTAACTTGCCATTCACCTCTGCTCCCTTGTGTGGTATGTGTACCATTGAATTCCCTAAAGACTACCTCCGCGGCGCTACCCTCTGTGCCATTCCCTAAACATCACCCTGGACCTGGTGTTCTCTGGTGGTGAGGGGCACATAGCGGACCTCCATAGCGTTGTGTTCCACCACCCTGCCGTCAGCCAATTTGTCAATCACCTTGAGGTCCTGGAAGAGGGTACCCACGGGTACCACCAGCCGACCGTTGGGCTTTAGCTGCCTGATCAGTGCCTCCGGCATCGTAGGCGCCGCTGCCCCCACATGGATGGCGTTATACGCAGCTTCTTGCGGCCATCCCTGCCGTCCGTCTCCAACATGCAAAGAGAGCACGCCTCTCTCCAGCATGGCCACTGCTGCTGGACTCCGCTTCACGTTCTCAATGCTCCTCTCGACCAGTTCTGAATGCAGATGCACGCACAACGTTAAAAACCAAAAAAAAACACCGCAAAAGACTCAAAAATTCATCATATTATAAGTTATAACCATTTGACCTTTGAAGTCGGCATTGACCAGAAAAAAAAAAAAAGTCCTGAAAAGTTGTGGAAACAATCATTTACGAAAACGTAAAGATGGCGAACTTTAAATTACCGTTGTGTCCTTGTACATTGAATGAATTTCCATCACATTATTAATTTATTATCCAAGAAAGAATATGGAATAGTCCTTCAGCACATCCGTTAAAATTGGAACGATACAGAGAATGAAGATTAGCATGGCCCCTGCCTGAGCAAGGATGACACGCATAAATCGAGAAAAGATCTAAACCAAAAAAAAAAAAAAAAAAAAAAAAAAAACATGGAA